GTTGTCTAGTCAAGTAAGTCCTCATCCCCCTCTCCAGCACAGATAACATCCACCCTCCCAGTTTTTTTTCATATGACATTCAAATATGCTTCTCTGTTGTTTTATTTGACATCTCTTCATATGTTTGTGGCCATTAGTAAGCTATTTTGTGGGTCATCTGCTCTTAACTTTCACTTGTCTTTCTGCTGGGTTGCTTTGTCTAACTAGTTTGAAGAACTATTTTATATTACATAGATTTCAATTCTTTGTTTGTTACATATGTTACATATATTTTCTGTCATTTTTCTGAACTATGATTATGTTTTCTTTTGCCATGCAAAAGTATCTAATAAGTTGTATCTCTAAATCTTTTCCTTTATGGCTTCTTGGACATATGTTTCATGTAGGAAGGCTTTCCATTCCTGAGTTTATACAAATAGTTTTGTAAGTTTTCTTCTAATATGATTATTGTTTTGTTTTTTTATGTTTAGCTCTTTAATCCATCTGGAAATGATTTTTGTATATGGTGTGAGGTAGGTATCTAAGTGTATTTTTTAATGATTAGTTCATTGTCCCAACACCTCTATTACTAACCCATCATTTCATATTATTAAATTCCAGTATTTATATATGGGTCTACTTCTCGACTCTCTAGTTTGTTTCATTAATAAATTTGTCTATCCCTATACCAAAACACAGTGCATTCATTGTGTAGTTTGATAGAATGTTTGGCTAATAGAGTAAATATCCATTATTGTTCTATTTCAACAAGATTTTATTGGATATATCCAACCTGAGATGAATTTTGAATTCATCTAGTCAATTTCCATTTATCATTCCATTGGGGGTTGCATTTAGATTGTATTGAATTTTTAGATTAATTTGAAGGAGGAATGAGAGGTTAATGATATTCTTCTTATCCAAGAAAATGATAAAACTTTCTACTTATTTTGATTTTATTTTATGACTTTCACCACTGTTATTTAAACAATTTTTATTAACATTTATGTCAAGGAGTTTTAAATGATTTTGTTACTATTGTACAAACAGTGTTATTTCCCATTTTATTCTGAGATCATTGTCACTGGTATAAAAGTATTTTGGCTATTATGTGTCCCTCCTGTATCTAGGTAACTTGCTAATGTAACAGTTTTAATTGCTTTTTAGTTTATGGTTTCCTTTTCAATATTTACATCCTACTTTAAATTTCTTTGACTAGGACTTTTTAAAAAGTGTTTCATAAAATCAGTTGTTCTGATATGTAGCACCCTGAGCGAAACATATTACCTTCTATTACTAATGGATTAGGGCTTTTAGTAAGAAGTGAGTATTGGAAATTTTAGGCATTTTGGAATGGATTTTTTTCTTCTTTTAATTTAGTAAATGTAAACACATATTTCCTAAGGTTTAGACCTTTTAAGTTTATGTTATATTCTTGAATTATACATGTAATTCCTGTGATACAGTGTTGATTTGGAGACTTCATTCATAACATAATTTTATACATATGTAAATTGTCTTTTTCTGTATTTATATATTAAGGCTATCACTTAAAGTGACAGTTATGTTATCAGAGATATTGAAGGCAAAGAGAGTGGTTTGAGAACATTTCTAACTTGTTTTTGTTTTGCAAAAATATAAGCAGGATGAGGAAGTTTAGTGGAGCTCACCCTTAGAACCATCTAGATCTTGTGTTTCTAATGCATTGATTATTTGTACTACAACTTTAATCATTTTTGTATTCAGGTTTGTTGCTTTTCAACGCTATTTTCTAGTAAATCAATTATTGCCTCTGTATTTTAAAACTGTTGTTTTATCATTCTTAGCTTTTTATATTTATCTCCCCCACATTCCTTGTTACCTTATCATGGGTGTATACAACTTTGGAAGAATTAGCAATTGATTGCACAGAGAAAGTTTGCTTTTTGTCTCTTTCAGTTGTTTGTTTTGCTTTGTTTTGTTTCATTCCAAGCTGCCTATTTATTTTACTTGGTCTTTATAATTTATCTCTTCTTCATTTTTTTTTGCACTTGTTTTTAGATTGCTACTATTTGTTTGAGTCTTTATTTACCTTGGTTATATTTTAACTATTTTAAAAATTACTTAGGGGTTCATATATTTGTTTTCTAAGAATTACTTTAGGTATATTTCTATTAAACAGTAAATAGGATTTTGGTTAGCATTATAATAAGTTTAAAATTTATTTTCATGTTTTCTTTACCAAATGGTTTTTGAATTGCTGAAAGGGAACATTTTGAAATGTTGTCTTTTTCTTCTTAATTTCTATTTTACTTTTTGGATAAGAAAGTATTTCTTATTTTTATTTTATATGGATCTTTTCCTCTTAGAATTTCAGATTTCCTTTGAGGTTTAATATGTGATTGTTTTTTTCTAAACTTTTATATGCAATTTAAAATTATTACCTGAAAACGTTTTAAGGAGTCCAGAACACATATATAGTCACAATATATTTCTATTCATTGAAACTCAATATTTTTGTTTTTAAAATGTATCTTCATGTACATTGTCATCTTGACCTTTCAATTTGTGAAAAGTGGTTTACATTTTCATTATAATGATAGCTTTGCAAGTTTTCTTTTATTCATACCATATATATAAATATATTTGGGGGGTTTCTAAGGATGAACCCAGGCCCTTCACAGTGAGCTACAACCACAGTCCTCCATATATTTTTATTCTGAGGTTGGGTCTCTCTAAGCCAGTAAGTTGCCCAGGTTGGGTATGAACTTACATTCCTCTTGTCTCGCTTAGCCAGTCAGAGCACTAAAATTAGAGGCATGTGGTACTGTGACAAATTTATATATTCTTTCTATTTATTTATATAGCATTGCTATACAAATTTAGCATAAAATTTCATGATTATTGTAACAGTGAATTTTCCATCTTTAAATATATTAAATGTGATATGAAAATTACACCAAACCACTTTATTTTAGTGTTTGTTTCTGAGTTCCTTTATCAAATAAAATAGAGAAGCAATAAAAATGTATAAAAATAAAAGTGGCCATAAATACCTATATATTCATAAGTGCATATGTATGCATATATTTATGTCTATGCAGCAGTACAATGTACATGTATATACATGGGCAATTATATTTTTATTTCATTATTTTCATTTTTATATCCTTTTATTCTTTTCAATTTTTTTGCAATTTTGCTTAGGTTTGGCTTTTCAAAATAACATGAATCTTGTTCTTTATCTAAAGTTTTCTTAAGAGGCAATATAACTTATTTGTATTTACTATCTAAAATGACATTTATAAAATTTCTTTTTCGTTTTTCATTTTATTATAACTATTCCTATTTCTTCTTTTGGTAGTCTTCTTGGTATTGGTTAAATTATTTAGCTATATATTTTGAAAGCTGGTTAGGAATGTACAATTTTTATCTTTCTACAAGCTGCTTTAAAATTTTAGCAAGCATATTTAAACCTTAACTGTTACAATAAACAATTGATGAGTATAAGTAAGCTCCTTTTCTTCCTCTCTAAATGGTAAAACCTTTATTGAGCTTGTAAATTATTTCTGCATCTACTCTTTGATACATTTATTGTTGAAATTATCTGGAAGTTTCATTCCAAATAAATGTTGGTAGTGGAAGTTGCAGTGGTACTGTTAGCATTATCGACATTATTATTTACTGTATACTTTGTTTTACAGGAAGTCTTTATAAGTACTGCATTGCCTTTCACTGCCAAATTAGCAATTATTGTTTACATTTAAATAGAATTTTGTGACTTTTTGCTTTATAGTGTGTGTAATCTTCTAAGTCTTTGTATATCTTAGATTGCTTTTTTCTGTTTTTCCAGAAAGCCTCCTCAGTTAATTTCTGCTTCTTTACTTTATGAAAGGCTGTGTGTAGTGAAATGTCTGAATCTTTTGCTTCGTCCAAAAGAAACACCTTTTGTTGTCTTTGTACTTGATGTAGAATTACCCTGATTATAAAATCTCAGGCTCAAAATAACTTTCTACATACCCATTATGATCAGTTATTTCCAGCAATACTTCAAGTAGAAGAGAAAAACACGGCTTCCTTTTTTAGAAATAAGGCCTCCCAAGTCATTCTTCCTTAAATGCTCATTAATATTTTTCTTCCAACTTGTCCATCGTGCAAATGAAAAATTTGTATTAATAGTTCACAAGAAAATCTATAGAGAACTCTTTCTTAACCAAAGCTAACAACAAACTCCTGTGTGTTGGTCAAAATATCCCCATTTTCTCAAGCTTTATTTAGCAATGATGCAGTTAGTTCCTGAGTTTTAAAACACGCTGTGAATTTTCTTCCACTTATGCTAATACCTCTAGCCTGCTGAGCGGTGAAGTTCTGCCTAACGTTTTCCTCAGGACAGAGCATCACGTGCTTTGCACTGTCAGTCACTGTCTCTTCCCTTGGATAAACCCACAAGTGGCTGATGTCCTTCTTTTTGAAGACTGTCTTCTTACTGAGCTTTGTGGTCTTACTGAAAACTATCACAAGTTTGTATCCCGTCCACCTGGTATTAGCACCTGAACACCATGCTCCTGGAGCTTCTCTATAGTTGACATTCTAAATTCTGAAACATCAGGGTTGCCAGGAATACTGTACTTTCCCCACCTTAGCCAATGAGTCTGGCTTGATCTGTTTTTCTTGAAGGGTCACGCAGTGATTCTCCTGACTTCCTTTTGGACTTCCCCTTAAGGAAAATTTTAAGATTCTACCATAATACCACATTTTGCAAGCTTCTCTCTCACTTAAGATCACTTGGTGATCTTTCTTAACATCCAGAGTCAAGGAATCTACCACTCCTCAGTTGCTACCTGTAGTTGCTATTCTAGTTGTTTCTAGTACCGTGAATGTGGGTGTCTGTGTCTCTGCTCAGCCTCAGATACAAGTTGATAAAATTGTGGCTATGAGAATCAGGTGCATGGAGAGTGCAGCTATGTGTAAAGGGTGCAGAATGACACGACTGATTCTGGCTATCTTGTCACTCTGTGTGCCTCTGTCTTGACCCTCTTCAGGTAGGAGGACACACCATGCTCCCCATCCGCTGGATGCCACCTGAAAGCATCATGTACCGGAAGTTCACAACAGAGAGCGATGTGTGGAGCTTCGGGGTGATCCTTTGGGAAATCTTCACCTATGGGAAGCAGCCTTGGTTCCAACTCTCAAACACGGAGGTAAACATGGGAGGCAGCACAGGAATCCTGATTTGGAGGCAGGCTGAAAAGAGACGTCTCAGGCCTGGACTTGGCCACAGTGTACTAAGCATGCAGTGGGATTTGGAGCCAGTAGAGTGAATGTAGGCATACATGGGAAGACAAAATTTCTCTGTAGGGGGCGGGGGCTGTGATTGTAGAAATGTGGAATAATTTTCAAAAGAGCATGAAACCAGACATCTAAATTGAGACACAAGTCACAGTTCTGTTTGTTCTGCTACACTTAAAAATCACAAATGTTTCACTAAGACAGCAAATGAAAACAAAGAACTCCTGTGAGTTTTTCAATTGTGCCATCTTGTGGAAACACCTACCCTTTAGTATGTCCAAGTAAATTGGGTTCCCGATGGTTTTAGGCATGCCAGGCCCTGAGATGTAGAGGGATGGTGAAATGAGAGGCCCCATTTCAAATAACTGATTGGTCTATGTGTGGGTTTCCAGTAATAAAATAAATCATAGTGGTAAGGTTAATGATAACAAATATGCAGTATTTTATAATTTTCATTTAAAATAACAAAATACTAGTAAATGAATTTTAGTAGCAGCTAACATTTAACACCAGGTACTTTGCTAAGCACTTTACATATAGGAAGTCAGTAATTTTTACAAAAAACACCTGTAGAGATTCTTGCCAAAGGAAAGGGGATTGCTTGGGATCCTGGATTAGAGGAATCAGAGCTTCAGACGTGAAATCCCTGGGGCAGGGAGAGAGCCTGGGCTATGGTTCTGGGCTCACCTGACTCCAGATCCATCCAGATGCTTTTCCAATATGGGTGGACAGATCTGTGGTGCCCAGAGAGTTAATATAGTTCACAGATAAGAAGGGGGATCAATCTCCTACCCCAGCTGACCTACCAGAACTTCCAATTCTTTTTATGGTCTTCTATTTTCTGGCAAAACATGAACACAAAAGCTTTTTAGTATTTAAATCTCATTGTAATATTCAGTAAAGTGTCCTGTAGCTTAGAAGTTATATCTATTTCTGCTCTCTTATATCCTGACCACTTAATTAAGTGAAGTTCAAAGATCAAAAGAAGGCTGTCCTTTAAATCTGTAGTATCTTACCATTCACAAGCTCAATGGGGCCAAACTACAGTTCCTAACGTAGGAAAAAAACATTTTGACAACCTTTTAATATAGGGAAAGAATTTGTTCCAGAATCTGTTATAGTCTTTTAAAAAATATTATTTTCCCGGAGAGTGAGAAGCACATATGCACACACATGCACCCACATGCCTATACATGCATGCAGACATGGCTGTGGTGAGCCCTAGCGCACCCCTGCCTGTGCACTTCGGTACTCTAAAGAAAGCAAGGCTCGGAGTCAGAGTATTATTGGTCTTACGGGAAAAGTTTCTCTGGACACCTGAGCAGGCTTGTAGTAGCTAACAGCGTTGTGGTTTCTTCTAAGACTGCCTGGTGAGGCACTGCCCTTGAAGGCAGGCTTTCTGCCCCCAGCCACTTCTCCCACTCCACCCACCACAGCAGACAGGGCCTGGCAGTCATTAATAATGGGTTTCTCTACAGAAGTTGACAACATGGATAGTTTCCCATGAGAAGAGACACTCCTGAGTGCTTTTGATCTTAGCATCAGAAGCTCTTACTGTGGTTTGAATTGGATCCTTTTTCACAAAGGTAAAAGTAATAGGAGTACAAATTGGGCTGTCATACCAGTGGGGACTGAGAAGAGCTGGAGACCTGGTGGCCCTGCAGAGAAATAAGCCAAGTGAGCCACACAGCCTCCAGGCGGGTGCTGATACTCAATGGCTTGATAGACCATTCCAGGCCCAAGGGACAAGAGACAACACCCAGCACAAGGTAGCATTGGACAGCAAATGATGCTACAAGGCAGGAAAGCAAAGCAATTCTGTTGCCCTGTTGCCCAAGTAAATATAGACTAACATGGACAGGGAAGACGGACATTTGTTTGACTACTGAACTAGAGCTTTTCTGTTCATTTTTATCTTCACAAACAATTTTCCAGTGTGGAAACTGAAATTCTGGGTAAGTAGCTTGCTTGAGGTTACACAGTGTTAGAGACAGAGATTAAAACAAATTGAAAACTAAGAGATGAAACCTTGAAAATTCTCATATTCAGTTTCAGCCTTAGGCTGGGGGTAGCTCAGTGACAGAGAACTGGCTTAATACCCATAGAGGTCTGGGTCTGATGCACAGTGCTATTTCCCACCTTTCAAGATACGAATGCATGGCAAACACAGAACTGATCCTAACGTGGTCTGCTCTCCATTAACTTGTTTTGTTTCTGCTCCTCCTATGGCTATGTTTTCGCTATATTGAGCCATACAGTTTCTCTTCTTGGTTACACGTGGTACTTATGCTACTCCTAGGAGGTGGGCAAGTCAGATATTTGATTCCTGTGAGGTTAACTGATTTGCACTGGCAACTTAGTAGGTAGTAGTAAATGGTTAGTCTTAGCATTTAAGACTATTGGCCAGAATATACTGATAGTAGACATCAGTATAAATTAGTTTAATATATACACAGATGGTTTCACATAAAACCTTATCATTAGGTGTATATGTGTAAGTTAGAATGCACACATATTTCTTTGCCTTGTCTCGTATGAGTCATGATCCAGTGAGCACCTTTAGGGGCCAGATATAAATTTCTAATATCATCGTCTAATAAAACCAAGAGCTTCCTGAAGAAATGGCCAATGCTAAGTCTAGCAAAGTAAGTATTAGAAGTAAGATAAAACGGAAGTATCTGAAAGAAATGTAGAACAAAAATATGAAATTATATCAAACCTCAGGGGCCTCCCATTGAAAAGAATTCTCAATACCTAAAACAAGAATGAACTGAGCAACAGACTCTGTAGAATCCAATAATAAATAAAGGCAAAAAACAAACACACAAAGTCTTTAAAAGATGCAAGACACATGCTTCCATGCAAAGATGAGGGAAGACCTTTCTGCACTCAGAAACAAGCCTAGTTGTGTACACAGAGACTGTGACTGAGAGGGCATCAAGAGGAGAAGTGGGTGCTAACAGGAAAAATGGGAGCAAGGACCAAAGTGTGCAGAGTTACTTTAAGGGGGTTTTAAAGTCACAGAGACTCCTGAGAGGGGGAAGGAGGGGTTAAAAGTCAGTCACCACACGCAAGTGGAAAATGAATGGAACTGAGTCAACCTGGCTGAAATTCAGGACTATAAAAGAAGGAAGTAAAAGGGAAACGGGTGAGTCAATGTCAATTTTAGCCTGGCCCAAGAGGTAGCATTCAAAGAGCAGCAGCGGGCTCCACCAGCCCACCTGCTCCTTCCCCTAGAACCACTGTACAGACCAACATCAAAGTAGGTGCTCCTGCAACCTGTGCTTGGGGACTCTCTGCTTGGCACTAACACCATTAATAAACTTGCTGAGTTTTGCTGGGCAGGAGGCACGAGACCAAGGCTGGCCTTTGAATGTAACTCTCTTGCCCTTCTCTCCTGCAGGTCATTGAGTGCATTACACAAGGTCGTGTCTTGGAGAGGCCCCGTGTCTGTCCCAAAGAGGTATACGATGTCATGCTGGGCTGCTGGCAGAGGGACCCACAGCAGCGGTTGAACATCAAGGAGATCTACAAAATCCTCCATGCTTTGGGGAAGGCCACCCCAATCTACCTGGACATTCTTGGCTAGTGGCAGCTGGTGGTCAAAGATTCGTACTCTGTTGCCTCCTGTATCCCTGCCTCACATCTCCCTTTACCACCTCACAACTCCTTTCTTCCTTCCCTGATTGAAGGGAACATCTTCATATAAACTCAAGTGCCTGCTACACATACAACACTGAAAAAAAGAAAAAAGAACAAAAAAAGAAAGAAAGAAAGAAAGAACGAAAAAAAAAAAAAACCTTGTAAGGCAGTTTGGCTATATACATATATATATATTTATATATCTATCTATCTATATCTATAGAGAATACCTTCTCTAATACAGAGAGAAGCTGCTGATTTAGAAAACTATAAGACTTTAATGACTCAGAAAATCTTAAATATTATTAACCTAAATGAACATTCCCTTGACTTAAGCTGTGGACTGTGCTACTTCAGTTCTACGGATATCTGAGCAGATCTTGACCTTGCAGAGAGACAATCTTTGCTTTGGGATGGGAGGAGCTAGGGAGGCGCATAATCACTGTTGCGCATGAGTGCCATTACTAGGCACATGCGCAGACTGTGTTGACCTTGCTCAGCCGGAAGTGACTCAGAAGACCAGAATGCCTCCAGTCTACCCTCACCTTTGCCTCTTCGCCCTTCTCCATTGTTTCCACTTCTGGACAATTTTCTGATTGGTCCCTTCTACAGAGTACTGTCTTGATACCTTTGGGAAGCGCTGATGGCGCCTACCAGTAGACCCTGAACAATACCACAAAACCCAGACAAGAGCAGATTACATCTATTTTGAGTGGAAACCACGCCACGTTCCTTGCTAGATTCCAAGGGGATTTGTTCTTCTATCCTCTGAACTTCAAGAACTGCTTTCTGGACTAAAGAACCACAGAAGAATAAATAGCTGAAACCCGAATCTCGACAAGGCACTGCCACATGTCTTTCCTTCATTGGAATGACTCCTTGGCCCTACGTCTCATTTTCAGGCCCCAGGGGAGTTTTGGAGGGTGGGAAATAGATTCCTTCTCATTGGCTGCTAAAGTGGACAGAGCAGGTTTCAGGGGCTCAATAGCAAGAGACTTAGTTGGTTATTGGTCATTGTTAGACATGCTCCCTGGTCCTGTTTCTCATCTTGCAACCCTATGTTCTAGCCCCACCTCCTAGGATTCTATCAAGTACTAAGTGAGTCCCACTGCCAGGGAAAGAATCCAGGTTTGGTGAGAGCCTAGGGCAGTATGTGCTTCAGGGAGGCAGGCAGTGGTATGGGTCAGAGCCAGCAGGGAAGAATCTACTTACATGCTATCTGCTCCAGGGCCCTTAGCATTCTCCTCACGTTTCCAGCCCCTAGAAGGATTGATGCATCCACCTTTGAGCTTGCGAAAAGGCAGGGACTGAGAAATCACTTTTGTGTGCTGGGAATGAGGGAGGGGCTGAGGCTTCTCTGGGAAGTGTCCAATGAGTGGTCAGTCCTGCAGGCTGGGCATCTTAATGAGGACTGAGTGCTGACCAGGGAGCCAGAATGAAACATCTGGGCTAGGGCCAGGGCCCCGTGCCCCAGAAATCAGGGGAATCTCTGCTTTTGTGCTGCTGCCAAGGACCTCAGCAGATCAGATCTCTGGGCTCTCTGGCACAAGATGAGGAAATGCCCAGAGCCCCTTTGCTGGGGAGGAGAAGATGCACCCCTCCTGGGGCACCAGGCCCATCCACATCTCTTCAAGCACAGAGCTACCTAGTGGACTGACCTTTCCGAAACAGAATCCTCCTGGGAGCCTCTGATTTGCCCCCACTCCTGCCAGCTGAAGAACTGTCAGCTGGATGCCCTGGTCAGCTGAAATATGTGAATTCCTGTGTGGGGTTTAGGACTGAATTATGTGTTTGAGATTTTGCTATTTTAGATCTCAAAATGTTTTTATTCAAATAGAAAAGAGCTGTGTTCCAATCGTAGTCACAGCTGGGATTCAGGGATCAGCAAAGCTATGTGGAGGGACTGGGAAGAGAACTGGGTGAATGGAAGCTGGGGCTGGGTCTCCTCACTGTGCTGTACACCTAGTCTCTGAGGACTTTGGAGGAAAGCTTTTGAGGTTGACCACCTCAAGAGAACCCTCTGTTACCATCCAGCAGCAATTACTTCTCTTATTTCTATTCTTTGCTTCACCTGAAGCCCTTGGTCTGTGTGTGGGTTGTTAATGCTGGGTGGAAGGGCACAGTGCAGTTTTGATCTGTAAAGATGTTCAGGGATGGAATGACCTGAGGGACTTGAGGGCGAACTGTTTTCTGCACAGAAGAGATCCTTCAGTGCTTCTCTCACTGCCCTTCTCACATATCCTCTTCCAAAATATACTCTGTGGTTTTGATCCTCTTGGATATGGTCTGTAGAACCTCACAGTTGATAATGGGAGACGAAATGGTTTGGAAACTTGCAGACAACCAGGTATAAAGAATATGTGAAGGTTCAAATCATGGCACTGAGTCATCATCGCCAAATAAAACAAATTAATTCCTTGGGGAACAAGGACCATTGAAGGACCCTGAGCTTGTCAGCTTGGCTTTGTCTTAATGTCATAGCCCTGTGCATTGCCACTGGGGTCATGTCTTGGTTATGTGCACCAGGAGCAGCCACCTACGGAAGAGTGCATGAGAGAGAGAGAGAGAGAGAAAGAGAGAGAGAGAGAGAGAGAGAGATTGGTAGAATTAATAGAGGTAGACTGGGATGACATTTTGCACTTTTTTTCTGCTCTGTGGAGTTCCTACATGTTAACCAAGACATGTATAAAAATTTAGAGTGTAAAGGAGGCAGAGAATAGGGCTATGGCCTAGGGGTGTGCAGAGCATAGTATTCCTCCTATTCTGAAAGCGAACCAGAAAGACCTGCTTCACTATCTTAGGTTCCCATCTGTCATACAAGGTGTGTCCTTGCTAATTTTTGGCCCTCTTCTGGCTCTGAATTCTTATATTCAAACAGCATCAAGATCCTGTGTAAATCTTTTCTGAGCATCACTCTGAAATGTCTGGCTAGTCTTTCTCAGGCCTTGGGTAAGTGGAGGCAGTTGCCTCTGAGAGCACACTAGACTTGTGCTGGGATCACTTCTGGTAAGAATGTCCTCTTCTCTTTTGTATCCATGTCTTCAAAAATCAGAGTCTGAAAAAAGAGTATGCTAGATGCACAGAAAGCATTTGTTCTTGTTTTCCATCTTTACCTTTTATTGTACCAGAAAAACACTATCTAAGGTTTATTTATTTATTTATATATTTATTTTTAGAAGACCCCGTGTGTTTAAATGGGTCACTGAATCATATCTCATCAGCCAATGTGGCTGCTCCCGTGTACTCCACTCTCCTCCTCTCATGCTCAAAATGCTTACACCTTAAAAGAGCACAGCAGCTGGACTCTGAGTGTTTCACGTGCAGCAAGCTCCGTGTAGTGATTTGTGAATATTCTTGGAAACCAAGGGTGATGTCCTGGCCATGCTGTTCTCACCTGGTCCCATTATAGAATGAACATAAGTGACTTTCTGTCACATGCTCACCTCAGGTCAAGATACTATGGATGAGGGTCCTCCATGTTCCTTTTGGCTTTAGACATGAACCAAATGCTGGCCTGTAATTGTATCTCTGATCTTTGAGTGGACTTTGGAGATCACTAAACCTCCCTTAGTCAGCAGACGAAGGACTTCCACTCGGTAGGCTATGCACAAATTGTCTTGGGGAGAGGCTTCCTACTAGAGGTAAATGGTCTTTTGATCTTCTGGGTTCAGACTGAGCACTGACATTCTTTTCTGGTGATGATTACTTATCGGAACACACTAGTGCAAGTATTTCTGGTGCTAAATACTACAGAAACCAACATCAACAGAAGATCTTTCAGCTTCTTTCTGGGCCTGCATGAACTCATCTCAGGAATGAAAGAGTCAGTTATGCTAGGAAGGCACAGGGAACATCAGAAAGATCACAACTGCTGGATTTTCTCTTGGTTACCCAGGTAACTTTGGCTAAACAATTAATCTCTCAAATTATCCAATTTTCTTTCTGATACATTTAAGTGGTTGAAGTAGATATACTTAGGGGCCATTTCAGTTTTTTAAAAAAAGCAGTTATGTTCCTTTCCCATCAACTCCAAAGCTTACTTGTTAGAAATGAGATAAAATTAAAGGTAAGGAGGGATAGAGGAAAAAAGTTACCAATGGCGAAGGGATTGATCACTGATGGGGCAAAAAGAAAGTTCAACATCTGGTGTGTCTGTGGGATACTGGTGGAGGTGGTGGCCAGGCAAACAAGCCTCATCCAGAACATCTGTATGTTCAAGAGAAACTGCTTGCTCTAGTTTACACATTAGAACTAGTTCACACATTAGAACTAGTTGTCATTTCCCTCTCAGCACCGACATGCCCAAAGTCAGCAGATACTTTTCTGACACATGGAACAGGTTTGCCCACTTCTCACTGGCAACTCAAACTCAGGGTCAAAAACCAAAAGATCTTTATCTTTAAATACTAATTGTAAGGAACTAACATACTGGAAAGAAGACATGTTGAAAGTTGCAAAGTCTTTATCCAAGTCCTCACCATTCAGAAATGGACCATGGGTTTTTCCTTTCTTTTCTGAACCAAAAATCAGTATAATTTTGACTATGAGGTACAGTTATCACAATGAACAGTCATAATTTGGGGTCTTCTCAAGGCATTGCTCAGAATATAGAGTGTAGACATAACAACAGATGCTTATCGAGTGAGCCTATGTGGCAGCAATTCAGAGGGCCGCCCTCCGTTGCTTCTGAGATGTCTCCTGTCCACTTCAGTTGAGAGCCAGACTCTAGAATGGCTAGTGGAATTTGCCTTAGAGCAAAATACAGCCCCTGAAGCCTAGGCCTTAAGTACGCAGCCACTCACTATGGCTTTGTTGCCTTTGAGCTCCATCTTCTTTCACACCAAATAAATCATTTCGGTCACTACTCAATAGGTTCTAAGGAAAAATTCTAAGTTTTTGTGCAACTAATGAATGAACTATTAATGCAGATTCCAGAAAATGTTTTGGGATTGCTTGAACACCACTGCAAATAATTCTCTAAGGAAAATGCAGATATATGTAAATTGTATATCTTATCTACATGTGCATATTTGGTTGGAATGGTTTCAGAGAAGGACTGCCTAGAGTTAGCACATTGATTGGGATATGGAGTTCCCTTTGCATCTTATATTTCTTGTGGATGAGACTGGCTTCAAAGATATTCAGCATGGTTCTGATGGGAAATCTGTCATCTTGTAATGTTTGGTCATTGGTGCTCTCCAGATTAAATTATCTTGACAATAACATTCTGAGCATGAGAGTATCACTGTTCCTGGTTGCTTAATATATCACCACATAGAACTGTTCCTATTACACTTTATGTGGGAGCTGGTTTAGAAGTCACTCACTGCAGAGGACTCCTTCCCCAAGAGGGACGGGAGAGAGGGCATGTGAGATGCTGATATGTGATTACTCTTTCTGAAACGCATTACTGACTTTTGTCATTGTGGTGAATATTCGTCATTGCATTGGGTTTAGGACTTTTGCTCTGAGTATGGTCTGCTCTTCCTAAAGGGATCTGAATCTTGGCTTCTGAAGGGATTTCTGTTTGCTTGGTACATTCTTCCCAAGCAGTTTCTTTGGCTGCCTATAAAATACTTATACTTTGGAACAAGAAATGCCTGTGACTCAAGTTTCAGTGTGCCAACATAGGTATTCTTAGAGCGAGCTGGGGAGCACGAGACTCCTTGAGCATGGCTGGAAGCCTAGATCAAAGTAACGAAGGTCATATTCTTCTTCCTTTTTAGTAAACTACTAAGTTCCAAGTTTAAAGCAAGGCCTGGCTTGATATTTGCAGTGGGGAACAGTGTCTCAAATCAATGAAATGGGCTCCGTCCCTCATAGTGGCAAAACAGTAAGTCCTGTTATTGTTTCTAATCACTCAGGAATATGTTGCTTGATGTGTGGGCCATGGCCCAAGATTTCAAGAGGTAATTCTAGCAGACAAACAGATAAGTTTCTTCTAGATGTAGCAAGGCAACACAGATGAGAAAAAAAAAAAAAAAAAACAACAACTACTAAATACTTATTTCTAAGAACATCCAGGCTCTCAAGTTGTACTTTTTGATTTTGGTGTGTTAGGAGATTTGCTTTCCTTGCATCTTAGCTGATGAGAAGCTTACGCATCCCTTCTGCAAAGCCACAGCAAGACACAGAGCTCAGATCTCTAGTGTGCACCCTGAGATTCTTTTCACTGTGACATTCCCCAACTCTGAGAAATGCAAACTTCAAAGTCTATCCTTTTTACTTAAAAAGAGTTTGTGAGATTTACATTTTAAAAACTCTTAACTTTGTAATGCTTTAAATGATAGGACACATTCAATACTCAGTATCCACCTCCTACCCTGAAGTCTGTCCTGATTCTGTTTCCATTTAACAGCTACCTGACAACTCTGAACCTGACTCTGGAGTACATAAAACAAATCTGGTGCAGGTCACTTGATTCTGCTGTCCACAATAGGGAAGTAAATAGATATTCTCTCTCTCTCCTTTTGCTTTTTTGTTTTCCTTTTTTCCTCCAGATTCCGTGGTACAGACAATCCACCTTCTCAAACTCTGTGAAAGTCTTAATAAGAGGTGAATCTCAGGCCCACAAACAGTTTGGACTTCAAATAGTAAGAAAATTGGCACTGAATGATTCGACACACAAAGCAGAAAACTTTCATTTCCTGCAAGCAGGATGGAATTGACTGTTATATTAGACTTCTGAAGGAGCCCTGCCCTGGAGTAATTTCAGTACTGTCAGACAATGTTGACATCTAGATTAACCTCTGTGCAGTGAATTTTACTGCATAGCTCATTGAGATGCGTGCGGTATGTTTCTGTAAATCCCATCTGGAACTCTTGCTGGCCTACCCTCTTCGACCTGCCTCTGTCTTTCCCACCTACTTTTCTCACAGCCCGTGAACTTTCAGCCTCCAGGAGCAGAGGAGCTCTGGCTGGGGTCTCACCCTAAGAGAGGAAGCTTTTCCCTTTTCTGCCCACAGTGCTGAGCCAGGCAGAGTGACAGTAGTTGTCACTGTACTGGGTTTCCTTGAGAGGACTGCAAATCAAGGTATGAAACCCACGAGGCTGATGACAAGGAGTCTTGTAGCATATCGTGATACAGCACAAAGGAATGAAATGATTTGTGGAAAATGGGAGTGCCCCATATCAGTTAGCTGTGCTCGGGGACCTCTAGTCTTTTGGAGTTTCAAAGGCCAGACACAAGGTCATGATTGCATCCAGATGGGGCAGGTGAATTCTGACGGACAAAAGTGTGTCCTCTACACAGCTGCTTCTCTAGACAGAGGAATCAGCTGTTCCCTTGGCACTAGTTTGTCAACCCTCTTTAAGGCCCAGTGAACTTTAGAATGGACTGAACCCTGTATAACTTACTGTGTGATGGCACAGTGAGACACAGAGCCAGAAGCAGCTCAGAGCTGTGATCACAAGTTCTCTACAAACTTGGGCCATTACTGATATTGAAATTTTTGATAAAAGGCTTTCAGCTTAGCTTCAGCTCCCTTCATGCTCTGGATTTGTGGAAATATTCCACATTACCACAGGCATTTTTGAAAACTTCCCCCAAGGTGTTAGAATAGTGTACAACAAATTTTTCTGCAATTTTTATGATACTGACTCCACTTCTTTTTTTTACTCTGTGAATGTGTGTGTGTGTGTGTGTGTGTGTGTGTGTGTGTGTGTACATATGTGTTTTCCTAGAGATTGATCCCAGGGCCTTTGCACTGAGCTATACCCCCAGTTCTTTGGTATATTTTGAGACAGGGTTTCACTAATTCACCAAGTTGCCCAGTCTGGGCTTAAATTTGCCATCCTTTGGCCTCAGCCTCCCAGAATGCTGTGATTCTGATCTCTTTAAAACTAACTTTTATACTTTACTTATCTTTAATATGAGTAGTAAGAACCTCCTTGTATGTTTTTAGATATTTCTTTAGGAGAACTGAAAGTTTCCAGATGAGCACATTGTGTTTAGTTTATTGACAGGGAAAATTGATTTCTGAGCAGAGTAACATTGCAGTCATAGAGAAGTACTCTTGATGATTTTGTTTACAAGCAATTATCAGTGTGCTTTGTTCTAGATGCTAAAGCTCACATAGTTCCATCTTCATTTATCATTTTATTATTTATGTCATGATACTTGGTTACATGCACAAATATGCATACTTTGTGCACGCAAATGCCTCAATAATGTCTGTGTAAAAACCATGAAGTCACATCTGTGTTGCTTCTATTAACCACTGTGTGCATATGTGTGCAAATAAGTGTGCATCACCTTTTGTTTCTTAATCCTTTATATTGCTGTACTGCTATCAATACATAGCCTTTGGTTTTTTGCACTTCAGAATTTTTACAAAGTTTTTTTTTTTTTTTTGAGGGAGAAAATTCTGATTTTCTCAAAGACTATATATTTAAATGCAAGACTACTTTTCTTTTTATAAACAAAACCCAAACTAAGCCTTGATTCAATTTTTATTTAATTAATTTTGTGGGAAGAAAGACATAAAACTGATGCCTGCATAATAAACATTAAGTGCAAATATAAATATGAACTAAAGTAAGCAAGTTATTGAATCTGTCCTTGGGCTGAAGCAATTAGTCAGATATAAAACTCAAACAATCCAAAGGGTTTGCAGTGTGAAGTGGAAAGGTTAGCACGGGGCAAAGCTGAGAGCTGAGCTGATAGCTAGCAGGCTCAACGGGCTGTTCCTCGGCTGGGTGACCGTGTAAGTCCCCTCAGCTATGTGAGCCAATGTAGTACTCATGTCTTTTTTTAAGTGGGCAGCTGGCAGCTAGTCGCAGGCTTTTGCCTCTTCTGCTATTGTAGTGACAGGGAAAGTCAAATTTATTCCTTTTCATTGCTCAGATTTGTTACCCATGGAGAATCAAGATTCCCCCTTGCACGAGTGTGTAAACATCTTCATTCTGGTCACTGGCACCTTCAGTATAACTCTTGCAGCTCTCTTTTGAAGGCTTTCCAAACTGGATTCTTTCCTCCCATCTCATCCCTGAAAGGATTAAGTCCTATCTGTGAGAAGCTAGAGAAAGATCTAGTGGTTCATCCCCCTCTGCTCTAACCTGAGCGTCAACAGGCTTGTGATTTAGCCTTGGGTTTCCCCAGCCATCCATCTCTTTCCAGCTCTGAGGACAAAGTGATTAGCTCCTTATTAGCACTTCATTACAGGCCTTTTTTTTTGCACAACAGACCCTAGGACAGTGAGACTATTATAATGCCTCATTCTGTCTTTGAAGTCATCTCATCTATCTGATCAGGAAAGGGGAGGCTTTCCCACACATATATCTTCATCCTAATTTTTCATTCTTGTTTTCTGGCTGTTAAATATACTGTTAAGTGTAAGACCATGATTTTACGTTTACCTAGGCCCCTATGATCAAGGGTATACTATATCATTATAGAATAAGAGCTTCAGTCAAGTTTTTATTTAGTGGAGTGGCTATCAGATTGACATGTGTATTTGAAGAAGCTTGCAAAATTTGGGTGTAAGATGTGGCCAGAGACTTTTTCAATTAAATAAAATCTTTATTGTGCTAGTGCCAGAAAGGTTATACTATAAGAACAGAATTGAGCCCAGGGTGCTAAGAAAGCTTGAGATAGGAAAAAATCACTCAAAGAGCTGGGAAACTCAACCTCATGTTCACCAAATCATCACATATTAATAGATGCTTCAGCCTCTTCCCTTCAGTGCCTCTAAAAAACACTAAATATCCACCTTTGCTGTTCAAAACAAATTATTCATGTCTGACTCAGTCGTGATTTTAAAAAGTCATAAAAAACAACCATCTAGAAATAGTTTAATAGTAGTTCTTTTCCTAATCCCTACTAACATTTTCAATGATATTTTTGATTTTTTCATTTTTATTGCTTTAGGAAAAACTAAGGGGTCCATTTTAAAATGTTGCCTAAGTAAAATGGCAAGACAGATTGAAAATGGTGAGTAGAGATAGTATCAGTAGGAGACGGAGGTCTGGAAGAATGACCTTTAGAGAAGCATTGGCATTTTTGTGTCTTTGCCTCGATCTACAAATCCAACCAACCAACCAACCAACCAACAAACAAACAAACAAACAAGCAAACACAAAGTCACACTGTTAATACTAGAAGTGCTCACAGTTGTCAACAAAGAGTGCTTTGTGGGCTGTTCAGAGTCCCTTGAGTAGGTAGAACTGACTCTTTGGATAGAAGTGTTGTACACAGTCTTTCAGGGTATGAAGCTCAGAGCTGCTTTTAAATTGCACTGTGTTTGGAGGAGCAATTTCTTTTAATTCATCCTGAAATCTGGTTCTTAAATGTTATATCATTAGTGTTTTCTCCTTTGACTTACCATTGAGCATCTAGTGATGAAAAATGGTTTAAAAACACAAGCACACAGGGCCGAGTTTACTGATTTGGCTCTGTCATTGAAAAGAAACTTTTGGTTGATTTTATTTTCAGGCTTAGAACCATGATTTTTTTAGGGAATTGGCATCTCCTGCTGCATGTCACTTCTTCCCATTCATTGCTTTCATGAGGTTCTATAGATTTTCCCATAATTCTTTGTGAAATAAGACTGTAAAGTTTCCTCAATAAATTCATAGTGAAGCTAACTTGCAGGGAGCACTGAAGTGACAGTGATCTAGAAGCATTTTAGGGCCAGTGGTCTCAGCACGGGAAAATAACTGTAAGATGGAAAGAACTGCTCTAGCAAAGACCAAACACAAAGCCACCACTACCCCAAGCACAGCTAAAAGGTGAGTGGGAGTCCCACCGAGGACCTGGTTTGGCTGAGAATGAAGCCCTTGACAGTAAGTGCTGAGATGAGATCACCAAGGCTTCAGCAGTGATGCCGTTTAGAGCCCCTGAAATAATCCTAGGTGTTTGTGATGCCAACCCCTATTTTAAGTAGCTTACAGCGGTGACTACTTGACAAGATAAATCTTTCCAATATTATTTCCTTTCAATTCCAAAGCAATCATCAGGTGTGATGTACCTGACAAGATGCAGTGCATTTATTACAAGAATTTTGACCAATCTAAAGAAAAATCAGAATAAAGCTGAATATACAAAATGCTGAGAAATTCATAAATGCTTTTATTTGAGTTCAGAATACCTCAGTTCTCTTTTCTCTTCTTACCTTCTACTCAACCTTCATTTTTCCTATATGGGATAGTAAAACCTTTGTTTTAGATCTCTGTCTAGATGATTTTTCTCTTACAGTTGTCTAGCAGGCAGAAAGCATCCTAGCTCTCTTTGAAATGAAAATCCAAATTGGGTTGTGTTTTTTAAAGTTGGGGTGTGAAGTTGGAGAAGGCAAGCTGGCTCAGGGTGATGTTTTGTAATTCATTCTGATAATCTTGAGGAGGTGGGTACCTTCATTGCACTGCAAAAGTCCAAGTTGTCTCACTGTATAACTTCCTAGCATCACCACTGAGTAGTCAAGGGTCTCAGAGCTATCATTTGAGAGGTAACTCACTAAATATGGGAAATTTGAGCTTCTTTGTTACAAAAACAGCTAGAATCTACTTCGGTGCTTGATTTCTTTCCCCATTCTGGAAGTTCCACTTTTTATGGGATATTTTCATTCCAAGGCTAGCAAAAATTGATCAAAGCTGGTATCTAAAGCAAGGGCACCCCTACACCTATCAGAACTGAAGACAATCCAGTTGACTCACGTTATTTTTCTGGTACCCCATGATATCAAGGGATTTTTTGATTATGTATGCGTAGAGCACAGAGGGTTAGCATGAGGGAACTGTCAACTTAAAAGGGAAGGAAATCAATTTGAGACAAGAAAATTCTCACATTGTATGTGAGAGAAAACAGTAGTGCTGTTGTGTTTAGCAAAGACAGGTGCACTGTTCAAGGAGGGTTCATGTCCTTCTTCGAGTTGGCTTTAGTTGTTGACATTGTGTGTGTGTGTGTATGTGTGTGTGTGCGCACATGTGTATGCACATGTGTATGTCTGAGGGTGTAGAAGCAGATAGGAATGAGTTGTGTATAAGTTTAGATTGTCCCTTGATAACAACACAAGGTCTTCTCACTTTCCAGAAATGTGACAGTAAAATTAGAGCTCAAGAAGAATTCAGAGCTCCATGTTTCAGTACAAGGTAAAGTTTTACCCAAATATTTCCTTTGAAAACATTCAGTCAATAACAAACCAAATTAACTTGACATCAACAATTAGTATTACACAACAAAGTTAGGAGGCAGCATCTGCAGACCCTGCTGCCACATGTGTTACGGGATTTTATTCTAAGGGCACAGGGCCATGGCTGCACATGAGGGAATATGCCTGTAAGCCTGAATGGGGATTTGGGTGACATGGACTGTCCTGTCATATTTTGACAATGCATTCATTCTGCTCTGCAGAAAAACTAGCGTAGCTTTAGGGATATTTTTAATTTGAAATGGTATGAAAAAAGAGACTTTTGGAACAATTTTTGAGGACTGTTGCCTAAGGCCAGCCTTTGGTAAAAGGTTTTTCCATTTGATCAGCAAAGCTTCTGGCTTTGCCCAACCCAGAGCACAAGTTCTGTAATGAATTCTTGAGTATCTTTTTCAGCACCAAGGACAGCAAACACCCCCCTCTCAATTGACCTAGGGCCTACCTACTAACCTGCTCCCAATCCTAAATTCAGGGGCTTGCATCTTCTATTCATCCCCAAACCTACAATAGCTTTTATTTTTTCCCCAACGCTGAGTTAGCTATTTCTGTTGTTTTCTTGACCTGATAAATACTAGGGTTTGAACTAACCTACTCAATTCTTGCGGCTTAGAAGATGGGGAAGATGCTAAGATGTTGGTGGAGGGCATACTTTGGAACAGGCTCCCCTTAAAAAAGCCTTTACAGATTCCCTTGACTTGTAAACTCTCCAATATTGAACTCCTTATAGGAGTATTATTTTGAAATTTCTGATATTCAATATTTTGAAATTTTTGCATATCCCCCACAATATACAAATCTCTGTTTCACTTGGTGTGCATATGGAGGCAATATTTCACAGTGGTTGATCAGGATCAGAGAACTCAGCAGATAGAGATGGCCCCAGGTAAGCTGCTATGAGGCATTTTGGAGACTCAAGGGAGGCCACTATTTGCTTGTCAGCATCCTTCATCTTTTCCATTGGTCAGCAGCTATTTTTGTCTTGAAAAATCATGGTAAGAATGGAAATAGGTCCTCAGAAAGTAGGTCTTCAGGCAGAGTGAGGTAGTACACTGAGCCCATAGGGTAGCAGAAGCACATGCTGCTAACTTTCCTTTGTGATTGGCCAGTTTTCATATAGCAGAATAATACACAAATATCACCCTAAAGCAGCACTCTCTTTTCTTGACTAGTTGGCATCTTCCTCACCACTCATGTCAGGATGGGTCCTGTGCTTGTAAGGCAAGACAACCTCTGCAAATTTCATCTTAAGCACTGTCTCATGCTGCACAGATGTTAGAGAAACTCTACTTTGTCTGTCTCTGGGCTATCCAAGGCTCAAGGCTACTACTCTCTCACTTCCTTTTTCTTTTCATTGCTAATTATCATAATTTTTAACAGATAGTGGTGAAAGAACATTAAGATTTCTTTTAAAGATGGGTAAGAAAATAAGCCTATTCCAGTATTAACATTTGTCATGCACAAAGAGCCATGACATCAGTCTATCTAGATTATTCTTATGAACACTGGGGTGGGTAGGCTTCAAGTTCTTCTATTGAGGCCCCACAGAATATGGAAGCTTTTTAAATATTTAAATTGAGGAATAATCCTAGTTTAGAAAGAGCATGATCAACAAAGACTAGCATCAATAGAAGGTATTTTTTTCTGTAGAGCAAAGAAAGTGTTGAAAATTCACTGTTACTGGACAAGTGACATACTGGCCAGTGGAAAGGTAGCCTGAGACCAGAAACACAGAGCCGGATGTACAGGTGATGTCAATAGAAGCTTCAAGAGGGAATATGCCAGAGGATTAAACCTTATAAAGGGTCTCAATACTTTTTCCGGAAAAGTCCTAAAATCTTCAAGGGTACTTGTAACCCTCTGCCTTTTCAGAGGCGAGCTCAGCTCTACTTCTGGGTTCTTAAGGCAAATGCCCTACAAACACCAAAGTCTTGTATTTTCCACTCTCAGTCAGTGCTGGCTGTCTTGAGTGGTTATTTTTCCCTTTCCTAAGTGTAAGGGACTTGTTTTCAGGAGAAGTGTCCTTTAAACATCCAGCTAAAACTGGAGGTAATTTTTTGCATGAATGGCTTTTTACAGCTAGGTCTAAAGCAGAACAAAACTTGTATTAAACTAAGTGCTACTTTACATATCTTATTTCAAGGGAAATGAAGGATTTATTGCCGTGTAAATGATATACACTTATTTGTTTCCTACTGGACATTACATGTCCCTTTATCTTTCAGCTGATATTGTGCAGCAAACTTTCAATATCTGGAAAATCAGCTGGTACCTACTTCAGTGCATTAGTAGGATATTATGTTCTCAGAGGGGAATTTTGCAAATGAAGTTTGGGTGCTGTTGTAACTGATTTCCATCCCCTACCCCTAAGCTTTCTCTACTAAATATCTGTAAAGTGATTCTATCTTGTCTGATCCTATGTGTTTGTGTGTATTTCCCAGTGTCTGTATAGATATATTGGCTACCTGCAGGATTATCTGGGTTATGGCAACTGCTGAGCAGTGGTGCATTGGGCATACGGGCCACATGCTGTATGTTTGCACACTTGTTCAGGGCCAATCTAATTCACTCACAAAGTTTAAAAAAAAGGAATGCAATTTGGCTTCAACAATGGATATTGTATTTCCAAGTCATCATTAATTAATGGAGACTGTGACAGAAGCTGAGTTGAAGTGTGTTTAAGTAGATGTTATGTCATTTATTTAAATTTCATTGGTTATTCTTGTGTTCTATTTTATCGTATAAATATTCCTTCAGGATACTTGTTTGATTTTTCCCCAGGCCACTAGGAAGTACTTATTGTGATTTGTTTCCCATGATTTGAATCCTAAATTTGTTCCTATTGATGACTGTGGTTTTAGTAAAATTGGTTTAACTAATAGTTCCTTTCTTTGAGGTATATTTTCATCCATTCCTTTATTTTATGGAAAATTAATACTTTGACTATGCTAACTTTATTTGCATCATGGCAAGTTTTGGGAAGTTAATCCAGTTCAGTGACAAGCTCATTTGCCTAGAGAAGAAGATCATTGTATAAATAAAACTCTTAATAAAAGGTGTTTTATGCAAAACAATTCAAGAGAAAAAAAGAAAGATCTTAAAACAAAAAATAATGTGATTTGATAAGATGGCCCCAGAGTAGAGGGGGTGTGTTCTTGGCTGGTATTAGGGTAACTGGAAAAGGCAAGTGCCCACCTTTCTCTACTGCCCGTCCCACCCTTCCTCCCTCCTCAACCTCAAAAGAAAACAGAAGATTATTTTTTTAAACTGTATTAATAATTTATGTTTAATACAAAAGGATGATTTCATCGTGTCACCAAAGGTCGTTTCTCTCATTGTGCATGCCCTCTGCTCTCGGCCCCACACCAGCAGCCCGTTCTTCACCCTCATGCTTCCATCGCAGGGCAAACCTACGTCTTCATCAGAAGCCATGGGTGTTGGAGTTCCTTGTGGGGGCAGAGATTTAACACCATGACACTAATAAGAACCATTCTTCCCTTTCAAATGGTTAATTATTGCAAGAAGGCAAACTCTTTTCTTGGCTTTTGTTTCAAAACATTTTATACATATATATGTATATATGTGTGTGTATGTATGGATATATGTATGTATATGCACATGTACATGTATATATGTATATATCCATCTCTGATATAAATATAATCATGTGTGAGAATTATAAATATTCCTGGGTCATATGTCTGTCTCTCATAGTATCATGTCGTCACTGTTATGTTAACGACTCCATTTATTGACTGATGAAATTATGTGTAGATCTGTATTCTCCTGACATAGTTTATGTAGGGTCTATTCTCAAATAAAGTATAAAACAACAATGTGCTTGGTTAATTTGGATTTATTGCATGATACGGAAGTGTGCCAAATTTAAATGTGGATTGAAATAGATTTGTATGTGTTCCAAATGTGGCGAAAGAGCACGGGATCTCGTGTCATCTTGAGAACTGGAACTCTGCTTTGCTGAGGGTAAAAGGAGTTTGTGTGATTTTTAAGACTGTCCAGAAATTGAATGTTGGCTTGTAATGAGTGTTTCAAAAAGTGCACACATATATTATTTGGGACAGTGTCCAGACAATGAATCTAATGCCTCTAGCTCTAGGTCATGATGATGCCCTGTTATCACATACAATTTTGTAGTCATCCTCATAGCTAACAATCATTTAAGAAAGCTCCCAGGGTTGGAAGACATGTTCTCCTGGATATCTTTTTACTCCAAAAGTTTTATAGTTCCTTAACATACTTACTTCAAGCTCCTTTCCTCTCTTCTCTTGAATTTCCCTCTCTTTCTCATTCTTTCTTCTTTACTTCATACAATGTACTTTCTTCAATAATATTTGAAGACTTTCCCCCTTAATTTGTTTTAAAACTATTGATAAAATTGGAGAAAAGGGAGTAGGGGAGAGAAAGAGAAGGAATAGAAAGTAATTCCACTCTGAAAAGTTCAGCAGAGCGGCAGAGAGGTGGAAGACAGGGTTTCTCTACAATGATACTGTGCACATTTTGGATGAGATAACTGATTTTTACAGGAAATTGTCCTCTACATCCTACAGGATTTTGAAAAATGTATTTTTTAGTTGTATTAGCGGCTTTTCCTCTTCCCAGAGTGTGATAATCCAACCTATCTCTGAACAGTGCCAAATACTGGGTTTTAGGGGAGCAGATGCCCTAGTTTACAACAGTTTAATTTTCATGGCTGACTACACAATGTGACACAAAGAGGGATCAAAGAACTATAAGGATCCTTTCATTCCTCGGTTCTTTCTAGGCCACCTTTCTGGCTGTACTTCATGGTAAACTTGCTACTTTTAAGTATATTTCCCTTCAAAGATCATTCCTGAAAATCAGATTACAACCCCATGTTTCAATTTCTGATAGCAACAGAAATGCCTTCCTCATCTCCATAGATCAAAATGACTTTGTTCTTAGTATATCTGTCTGCATCATTTTTGAAAGATGTATGATTACTATATATATAATAATATACTAATCAAATATATATCATACATAACAGTACACATATATACTAATACTATACGTTGTGTATTAATATATGCCAATTCCTTCTGATCTGAGTGGGAAGAAAACCAAATATCATTTTCAAATAATACATACCTGTGACATACCCAATAAGTAAAAAATTTTGGTTTTGAGTTTTCCCATAATGCTTTTCACCTAGTTCTTATCACTTTACCACATACATCACAAGGCACAAATAGAGGTCTTACCTATGACAGGTCACCAGGACACAACTACTTTCCATGAGTAAGTAGAACTTGGGCAAGTTTGTCCAGGCAAAAGCTCTGTTCTCTGAACAGTGTTAAGTGCACAGTGCACATTGAATAGACAGCTGTGAAAATGCCCATTGGATTATTCATTCTCAAATGGGTGGGTCATTCATAGAGCCGAGCGCTACCATTTAGTTTTACCTTGAACCCCATGCCTGGAAACACTGAAATCCTAAAAAAAGAGTAGCTCTTTTCCTCAGCATTGGGCTGCTTTTGCAAGAGTGGATGCTTGTGATAGCACCTAAAACAGAACTGGGCTCCTTGCAAGCAAAAACAGGTGCTTTTCAAGTCAGAACTGGAGGGCCCTCTGCAGGCTTGCTCTTTCCATACTTGTATAGTGATGGTATGAGATAGAAGAACCATGAGAAGCTGCATACTTGCTATCTCAACTCAGTCTTCCCCAGAGATCCTTTCTGCTCCACACAAAGACCAAGGACACTACGAGGGACTGCATGTCCACTTTAAGGTGCCATCTTGCCTCCAGGACTTGATATTTGTCATTTATTTTGAAATCATAATCCAAAGACTAAGAACTAACTCTGGGAAGTCCTTGATTGATAATTTTATTTAATGCTTGCTTTTAGTCATGTTTCTCAAATAACAGAAACATACATAGCCTTTCAGATGAAAGTGTCTTTCAGTGCTGGAAGCTATGGTTGATAAAATTATCTTATTATGATAACGTGACCTCAAAATATCAAATTACTCTGGTGACACAAAGAAGCAGTGATCTAATGTAGATAATTTAGAGATAACAAGACTAAATCTGGGGGATATGAGAGTGCTAGGAAAATACTCATGAGATCATGCGATGCAGGATGGAGACACAAACTGACTTGAAAGTTGATGTCTGGCATGGGGTTTGTTCTTGGCATGAATCTTGAACAGGTACAGATGTGAATTTCTGGAAACCTCGTCCTCTCTGGACATATTCCCTTAGTATCAAGCACGGTGGAGCCCTTCCCCCTGGGCCATGTCTTGGTCTTTGTTCTTATTGGTATGCTCAAGGTTACTGGGCTATTTCCCAGGGAGAAGTTCTATTTTAGCCTCCTCCACCCCTAGTGTTCTGAATTATTCAAATCACCAATGTAGTACACAGCAGAGAGTCTAATTACTGCCCTGCTGCCATTGCTATTGAGCTGTAAGAGCCAGGGAATGACTTTAACGCAGTTAAGTGGGAAGTGGCAGTATCTTTGCAAAGCTGTATAGGAAGTTCAATCATACTAGGGAAAGCTGGGTAGCCAAGGAGAGTTGGCAGCCCTGGAGCATCTTCTGACTGTGTATTCTTGCCATGCCACAGAACTCAAGAGAAAGCACAGCCTTTGGACTAGCCCAACTGGTCTCTGTGATGGTATTATTCATAGCCCTTTGCTCCACAGAATTTTAAGAATATTCACGCATTCCTGTTATTCAAGCTCAAGTAGTCTTGCCTGACAAACACAAAAATCTAAAGTCCACAGAAGGGGGAAGGTGTCAGGACATGAGTAGCCATAGTTAAGTCAACCCTTATTTGCCAAACTTTCTGCTATGTACTCTACATGCATGAGTTAATTCTTCTAATGAGGTCAGGTACTAATAATACTCCCATTGTCTTAATATGCTAATTAATTATGCCTCAAAGTTTTGGTTTCTTGCTAAGTTCTACTCAGTAAATTGAGATAGAGCAGTGATTTAAACCCAGAAGTTGGGCTTTACACATATGGTCTAATCATCACTCTACCTCCCACTCAAGATCACAATGTAAGGTTTACCCTAAAAAACTGTTTTCATTCATCTCAAACTGCATTCCCTAATACAAATCAGAAGCTCTTTCTCTTTCAGAGTAATCAAGCATTCATTCATGGAATTAATTAAGGAACACTATTAGGATGGATGTAGAACATTGTGCTAGAATATGGAGATGTCAAGTGTTTTCAGAGCTCTCCTCTCCACTCCATTCCCTCCCTGTTCCATGGTCTGTATCAAATGGTGACAAAAGATTATGTTAAGAGAGGGAAAACAGGAGACAATTTGGGTTCATAATAGAGCAGATGACTGCTCCCAACAGAGCCTACTTCTCACTCATTGGGCCTTGAACTACTTATGATAACTGCTAAGGTTTTGACACACACCTTTTCAGAATTCACTAGGAGTCTTGGCTCTTCCTGAATTTCACTCCTGGTAGGAAGCCAGCATGCTCCTCTAAGCCCTCTGCATACCTTGACCTTGAGATAGCAATATGATGTCTCAGCTCTGGCCTGATACCTTCGAGCTATTATTCTAGAGGCACACTGGGTCTGCTCATTCCAAGTCTCTGTGAGATTCCTGAAGCCCCTGCCTTCTGCTACATAATGGAAAGCTCCACTTGCAGAGTTATCCACAATGGGGCTGATCATAAATTTGATTTATGGAGTTAGTTCATTTATTGCCTCTGAGCTGCCAGGAGTTTGACTGACAATCTCCGTTTATTTCTCACTACGTAATATCTGACTTTATGTTATAAATTCTTTTGACTGGAATTTTGTGGCATGTGTCCTGGTATTTATTGATGGCATGCTCATCAGGAATTCTGTCCTATTTGGGATAAATTGAGGTCTGAGCTCTTGGTTTTTATCTGTGAGGGTAAAGATAGGGCTCTGACAGCTCCATACTAAAAAGGCTTTACTGTTATCTTTTGGGCTTCATGATTATATGTTAGAAACATAAAAACCTGCAATAGGTTATTGATTATGATTCAAAACAAGTGGAAATAAGTGGCAAAGTCTAACTCAGAGTCACAATGGTATTTCTCCATATAAAAGAATCTAGAAGAACAGTGAATGTCATGTCTGCTCCTACCTAGGTGATGACTGTTGTGTTATTCTCCTTTTTCCTTTTCTAGTCCACATGTCGAATCAAATGACCACTTGTGTTCAATCACTGAGTAAGGCTTAGGTTTACACAAAGAGAGGAGAGGTGGAATCACCAAACTTAAGGTGTTTAAGTTTCCATCATGGGAGGATAATCAGAGGAATGAGGGTGCAAATATTATTCTGAAGCATGCAAAAGTGTTTTAGGGTGCATCAGGGAGATCAAAGGTTGGTCAAAAGACATCAGGAGAGTTATGATAGTGTTCATTCTCACACTACAATTATGCAATCTTGCATCCATCAATGACTGATCAGAAAATCTTTCTACAAGAAATGGTAATTGAGTTTGGGTTCATGGCTGAGTGTCTCCCACAGGAATTTTATGTTTTTCCTAAGACAAGTTAAGTTTCCATCATGGAATTTGTGTTGTTTCCCAGTACCATTAGCCACTGGTCAGACTGTTCTCAGTTTTAACCTCTCACAGTCCAGTGGTAACAGAGATGATGAAGCCAGGCCCTGAGTTTCCGTGATCTGAACCCCCATCTGGATTCCTGAAGAAAAAACTACAATTTACAAAGCACATTTTGTGCACCAACAGGCACCGCAATAAACACTCACCGAGTCGTGGTCACCACCCACTGTGAGTTATGGATCTTTGCCTTTTTAGATGAGAAAGCTTATCCTTGGACAGGAGGTCTCATTATT